TGCTAAGGTGGAACAAGCGGCGCAGCAGGAAATGCAACATTCAGGAGTGCGCCCACGGTGCATGACCAGAACCTGCAGAACATGAATGCCAGATTGATAGCCGTCGAACAAGGATCGCAAGACAAAGTTGCCGAGGCCGTCGCCTTGGCGTTGCAGGTCCAGCTGGACGCGTTGAAGGCCAGTTCGAGTGCGCCATCGACTGCGGGATCGAATGACATGATGGAGGGGGGGGGAGGAGATCGTCCCGTGCACGCTGGTGGAGGCGGTGGTGGTCGAGGCCAGAACCGCCAAGCTCCCACAGATGCATGCGCGCGCTTCTTGTGGACCTTCCCGGGGCCGCTGCTGAATAAGGCCAGGGAGAAGCACTACAATGAAACGGTGCTCGCACGATATGGTCATTTACTACATGGAGTAACCCCGTTCTTTCACGGCATCTCGCAGAGTTACAAGCTCACATTTCCGACCCGTGTCGCTGCGAAGACGTCCCAACAGAGGTGCAATGAGGGTGGAGGCCACGACTATGTGGACGGCCGTGCGCAGAAGTCGTCGTCGATTCGTTGCCGTGCCGATCTGCCCGTGGATGTGCGCATGAGCCAGAGAGAATTCAACGGCATCTACGAGCCCTTCCTGAACGAGCTGAAGAAGAGCCCCAAATGGGGTCCGTCCTGCCGCTTGGGGGTGAACGGGTTCAAAGGTGTCTTTCTCGTTCGTGATGAAGAAGACATATGGGGGATCGTTGCTGCAAAAGATATGTCGAGGACCCACGTGGAGTTCTTTCCAATTCATGAGGAGCTCGCCGAATGGGGGATCAGCGCGGAAGCGGCGTCTGCCATCATCGAGCGGGTTCGTGAGCAGCTTTAGGATGTACAACAAGGGCATCTTCGTGATGTGCGCAGGGATGCAGTACACGGTGGTCTTGCCGAAGCGGAGGGGTCGCTTCCTGAGGCCAGCAGTTCTGTTTTTGCAGCCCCCCCTAGGGGGCTCAGAGTTGAGTAGTTGTAATATTTGCTGTAGCAGCAGCAGTTGCAGCAGTCAGTTTTCTCTGTCAGGCAGTCAGTCCCCTTCTCCTCCCCGCCTCTCCCGTCCTCTCGCAGTGGGTCAGAGGCTCAGCGTGTGCTCCTGGAATGTTCAAACCCTGCTGGGATCGGTGTTCACGGACCAGAAGGTTATTCGGGAAAAGCTCAGACGCCTGAGAGATTTGCTCGAGAAAAACGATGTTGTGCGTATTCAGGAGTCCCACGGTACTGCAGAAGACCTTGATCAGTTGGAAAAAGACCATAGGTCCCACAAGCCCTTCGGAACCTTCTGTGCCGCTGGAGGCCTGCTGTTCTTCGTCTCACGCCGTCTGCTGGCAAAGTTTACTGTTGCGCGTCTTGACCCGATCGTTGATGGTCGTATTGCTTCTCTCCGTCTCCTGGGTTATCATGGGAGTTGCCAGATCATTAATGTGCATATCGTGCATGACTGGCTTGAATGGGTGGCGAGGGGATCTTCACTCGTAGCCATCGTGCTCTTCTTCCCTCTGATGTTTCTCTTGGACTTGTCGTGGGCGATTGGATTTTTATGGCGACAGGGGGATCGAGGCTTCACACCGACGCTGGCTTGGATGGCCCTGTCGGTTCGCGTCTGGCTAACCATTTTCTTGCCACGCTCGGCCAGCTTGGGGAGGTCATGCAGGAGCGCGATGCGCACAGAGTTATCAGGCGCTGCGAAGGAGACGGAGAGTCTCAAGATCAGGTCTCATTTGCTCGCCATGACCGTATTTACACTACGCTTGCTACGCAGGATATACTTGATCTCCGCCCTAGGACTGGGACAGGGTGGCCTATTGCAGATCTCGGAGCCCCGTCAGACCACTGTCCAGTGTTCCTCTCGGTTGCTTCTTGGACGCCCACGGACTGCGCGAGAATGCCTAGTTGGGTGAGCAAGCATGCGCAGTTCAGTATTATGCTCCAGGATATTCTTGATCCCGACGCTCTCCCGGAGGTGCCGGCTGTCCGGCCTCTGGAAATTAAAGAAGTTATGAGGTACGCCTCGCAGCGCGTCAAGGATTGGGCGTTAAAAAAGGGGCCCGTGCCATTGAAGAAAAGTTAGCCTGTATGCTGCGTGTCCTTAGGGGGGGCTCGTGGGGGGGGCTCCCGTCAGATCTCCAAGGGCCTCGGTGGGTTTCCCGATCTCTGCAGGCATCTTAGTCCCCAGGAGGTGCGGTGGACCGATCGCCCTGGCTTCGGCTCGCTTTTTTCGGACCTGATGCGCCAGAACCTTCGTGCGCGCGAAACCACTGCTCGCGCGGGGGCTGAAGATGGCGACGGCGGGGCCCGCGCCGCGCAAGCTCTTGCTCGCGCCCGTCGTCTCTGCCAGGCCTGGAGGAAATCTGGGCGCCAGGTTTTTCTCCAGCAGGTCACGGGCGCTGACGGCGTTGCCCACGGCGATCCGAATGGGTGCCCCCGATTGCTGGCGGGCCATTGGAACGGCATCTTCCGTGCTCGGGAGGCGGATATGTCGGTGGTTGAGTCGCTTGCGTCCATGATCACCCCCATTCCTGATGACCCGCATCAGTATGTTTCCGATTCTGCTTCGATATATCCCCGGGTCATCGCTGAGGTGGTCTTCGCTGAGCTTCTGGGCAAAAAATCTGATTCGTGTCCTGGGCTTGATGGCATGCCCTACTCTGCCTGGAAAGCGTCGGGGGATATAGGACGGGAGTGCTTATATACTATCTATCGGGAGCTGGTGGAGCACCAGATTCTGCCGCCCAACTTTAACGACAGCGCCGCTGCTTTCTTGCCGAAGGGCCAATCGCTGGAGGGCGAAATCGCTGCCCGAACTGCCGATGAAACTAGGCCGCTTTCGCTTTCTAATACGGGCAACAAGCTGGTGAGTGCAAGCATCGGTTGGGCTCTGTCTCAGGTTGCCAGTGGTAGGGTCCTGGGCGCCCAGAAAGGTTTCCTTAAAGGCAGGCAGATGATCGGCAACATTATAGAGGTAGACGCCAATCTGATGATAGCGCACCCCATCTGTGATTGCCGTCGTGCAGGCTCGGCCCTGTTCGACCTGAAGGCAGCTTTCCCCAGCATTAATCACTGCTATATTTGGGCGATTCTACGGGCTCTTGGCATTCCTGAGCTTATCATCATGAGTATTACGGCGTTCTATGGTAGCAGTCGCATGGTAGTGCAATTCAATAACTCGGATCCGTACTATATACAAGTGTGTCGCGGTATCAAACAGGGTCGCCCATTAAGTGGTCTGCTGTTCAGCCTCTGCTTCGACCCAGTCGCTCGCAGATTGCAGCGTGTCTCTCTCTTCAGGCTGCCGTCACTTTTAATGTCTTCGTGGACGACCTGGCCGCGACAGCAGCTGATCGGGTCGCGGTTCTTCCGTGCACGTGTAAGATCATGGTGCTGAGTGGGAGCGCCACTGGTATGTTCATGAACCGTAAGAAGTGCCCATTAGTTTTCCCAGATAAGGATACCTACCTTGGGGCGATCGATCTTGTTAGAGAAGCTGGGGTTCGAATTCGGAAGTTCGAGGTCTCTCGATGTTGGTGGTGCCTGGGAGTGGGAGTGGGCTTTGATGCTGCTGAAAAATCATGGGCCCCCGTCTTGGCTAAGCTGAAAGAGAGGTGTTTGAGGATCAAATCCATGGGTCTTGGTTTATCAAGTAGCTTAGCTGCGTGCAACGTTTACGGTTTGCCAGTAACATCGCATGTTACACAAGTACATGCACCTCCTCCGAGGGCGAGAACGTTGGAAAAAAACGGGCTTCAGCTCCTCACTTGCTCCCCCAGGCACAGCTCCCCCCCAATGTCTCCCTTCGACATGCGTGTTCTGGGGCATCATGTGCAAGCGGGGCGGCTGGAGATATTTGCCCGTGCTTGTATGATTCGGGCGGCTACTCGTAGCGCGTGTTTCCTTCACTATTCCAGACTGATCGACCTCTGGGCACAGTCTGTTGAGTGCTGCGTGACGTGGAGATATAAGCGTATGACGAAACATTGGATGGTTATGCAGAAGAAGTCCGCGGATGAAGATTTTTATCGTATACATCCCCAGCCTGGGGATATCCCTGCCAATCTAGTACACTCATATATTCATAAACAACTGAACATGTCCAACCCCATGCCATCCGTTGCAGCTATCCTATACCCACGTATTGCGAAGTGGATCCCTCATTGTCCTATGGAGTATGCTGTATGTGCAGGTAGGCGTCTGTGTACTCTTGGTTTTCAGCTTCCTGGGTTCGTTGCCGCGGCCTGCCTCGAACGCCTTTTCAACTCTTGGAATACGACCAGACGTTGCAGATGTGCTGCTGTTGGGTGGCGTTTCGGATGCCAAGCAATGGGTGGGGATGATACACTTGACTATATGGTGTGCCATATTGCTATTGGTGCCGTGACAAGCAGCTATCGTCTTCTCCCAGTTGAGTACGGAGATGCCCCATATGCGTCTTTCCTCCCCCACCTTCTCCCCCCTGACAGTGAAGCATTTCTGTCCGCCTGCCTGGCCGTTGACTGTCTGCACTCTGCATTCCAATCCATTCGGTCCGCTGGCGCCCTGCCCTCCCCTGCGCGCACCACTGGCCTCATTCGAGCTCGTGTCCGTGCCCAGGTTCGTCGATCGAAGGTCGCCGAGGCCCTGGCTAGGGCTGGTTCGGGCGGTCGTGATGTGCGCGGCCCTCGCCCAGGCGCGCCCCGCGCGCGAGGCGAGCCTGCTCTCTGGGCAGCAGCAGTGGACTGGGACCTCCCTCTCTCCCCCTCTGAACGCGGGTCGCTCCTCCTCCTCCTCCTCCTCCTCCTCCTCCTCCTCCTCCTCCTCCTCCTCCTCCTCCTCCCTCTCCCCCCCTCCTCCAACCATGCCCGACGGACTGCCCTGCCGAGGCCAGCTTCCAGTCTCCCTCCCCCTCCTCGTCCTCCTCGCCGTCGCTCTCCTCCCCTCTGGCCTCCTCTTCTTCCTCGTCCTCGCCGTGCAGCCTTCGAGCCCTCGGCAACGTCTGCGCAGGCGTGCTGGCTGCTGGGGCGGCCGCGCTGGCTTGGAGGGGCCGGCGGCGCCGGTCGCGAGTGGCGGGGCGAAACGCTGCTCGCCCCGGGCCCCCCCACGTCGGAGATCCGGCCAAGGGTTATGATGCTCCAGCCGACTTCAGCCTTGAGCACCCAAATGAAAAATAATTTCGAGCGCCCCAACAAAGTACCGAATCTCAAGGGTTTTCACGTGCCGGGCCCTTGGATACACTGTTTCGACACTGTTTCGACACTCTTTTGACACTTTTCTGGGTGCTCGAAGTCATTTCTGGGATGCGGTCCTTACGTAGGACGGGAGCAGCGTAAGCCAAGGGCGACGTTTTAGTCAAGACGCTGATGCAAGGACCGTTTTGAGTTCGGAAGGGGCTCGGCGTTCCTTGGGTCGTTCCGAGGCTCTTCCCCCTTCCTCATGCACCGAGGCGGTCCTGGCGCCCCAAGGGGGCTTCGTTCCCTATTTAGCGTTCCTGATGTCAGCAGCCCAGATGTTGGGGGGGGCTCAGGGGAGGATGCGTCGACGCCCAATCGCTCATTCATAACTGATAAAGGGGCCCGATAATCCCCACCTGCCCAGGAGCGGGCGGATTCGTTATCGGAGGCCTATCGACGTCCTGCCAGCGATGTATCGCCGACGGCTCCGCTCGATGTCACCCCGCCTGAGCCAATCCTCCCCCCCAACGCTGCGCCTGAGGCCCCCCCCCCGCCGGAGACCCGGGAGGGGGATGGTGGCCGAGAGGCCGACGTTCCAGGAGGGAGTTTGTCGGAGGTTTTCTGGAGGTTTCTCCAGGCTTCCTTGCAGGTTTTGCGCGCACCCTGGTGCTTTCCGTTGACGAACACGAGCTTTTGGCGCTCCGCGCGGATTTCTTGGATCCGCACTAGGCCGCCCCTGGCGGCGCCTTCAGGCAGCCCCTAGCGCGCTCCGCGCGCCAGGGAGGGGGGCCCAGCGCAGATCCAAGAAATCCGCGCGGAGCGCCCAAAATTTATGTCAGAGTGAGGGGGCCGAACGGTCATTCACTGTCCTTGGGTGAGTGGCTGCAGTGGGATTCCTCGGTGCGGATTATCGTTGTTGTTTGTTGTTGTTGTTGTTGTTGTTGTTGTTGTTGTTGTTGTTGTTGTTGTCGTCGTCGTCGTCGTCGTCGTCGTCGTCGTCGTCGTTGTTGTTTGTTGTCGTCGTCCCACCCGCAACACGCCCCGCGACACACCCGCGACCCACCCCGCGACCCACCCCGCGACCCACCCGCGACCCACCCGCGACCCACCCCGCGACCCACTCCGCGACCCACCCCGCGACCCACCCCGCGACCCACCCGCGACCCACCCGCGACCCACCCGCGACCCACCCCGCGACCCACCCCACGACCCACCCCACGACCCACCCGCGACCCACCCGCGACCCACCCGCGACCCACCCCGCGACCCGCCCGCGGCCCACCCCGCGACCCACCCGCGACCCACCCAGCGACCCACCCGCGACCCACCCGCGACCCACCCGCGACCCACCCCGCGACCCACCCGCGACCCACCTTCGACCCAAACCACGTTCAAGGTACAAACCACCATTTTCGGCGCCTGCGGCGGGTTTTGTTTTGCATTCCTTCCAGGTGGAGAGCCCGCGACCCACCCCGCGACCAACTCGCGACCAACCCGCGACCCAAACCACGTTCAGGGTACAAACCACATTTTTCGGCGCCTGCGGCGGGCATCTTTTGCATTCGTTTCAGGTGGAGAGCCCGCGGCCCACCCGCGACCACGTTCAGGGTACAAACCAAATTTTTCGGCGCCTGCGGCGGGCATCTTTTGCATTCGTTCCCGGTGGAGAACCCGCGGCCCACCCGCGACCCATTCCACGTTCAGTGTGCAAACCAAATTTTTCGGCGCCTGCGGCGGGCTGCTTTTGCATTACTTCCAGGTGGAGGTGGAGAGCCCGCGACCCACCCGCGACCCAAACCACATTCACTGAACAAACCAATTCCGCACAAGCGCGGCGGCGGATTTTTGCATGCCGTCTGAGCCCGCAACGACCTCTTCAAGCCCCGCGCATCCACACCAGCCCGTCCAGCAACTTCGCCCTGGCGAGTTGCCTTGATCAGAGAAGTCGGGGAGCATAAAGTGGACAAAAAGGATTGCGTTGCCGTTATCTTGGGAAAGGAGGGGGAGACAGGAGGAGTAAACAGGGGACGAGGAGGACGAGAAAGAAGAGAGGATGTAAGGAGAATGTGGAGGAGGAGGAGGAGGAGGAGGAGGAGGAGGAGGAGCAGGAGGACGAGGAGGGAGAGGAGGGGGAGGAGGGGGGAGGAGGAGGACGAGGAGGGAGGGGAGGAGGGGGAGGAGGGGGAGGAGGATGATGATGGACGATAATGGGAGGACGATGATGGAGGCCGATGAGGGGGTGGACGACAATGGGAGGACGATGGTGAAAGGACGAGGGGGGAAGAGGGAGGACGAGGAAGAAGAGGAGGAGGACGAGGTGGAGGAGGAGGAGGATGACGATGACGATGACGACGAGGACGAGGACGAGGAAGAGGAGGAGGAGGAGGAGGAGGAGGAGGACGAGGAGGAGGAGGATGAGGAGGAGGAGGTGGAGGAGGAGGAGGAGGAGAGCGCCATCGACAGGGAAGGTGGGGGCCAGGAGGTCCGCCGGCTCGACGACGCCCGCGTCGCCCGCGCCCGCCCCCTCACTCTTATCAGAAATTGCAGGGTGCTACGTTTATGGCGTTTTTTATTTTTCTATGACTGCGTCCTGGTGATCCCTGCATCGTCCCGAACGGTTGCCTCCAGCGACGCCTGGGAAAACCCTGATCCTCGACGCTCGATCCTTCTCTCTCACCCTCCCCGACCCCTGCAGCAGGACAAGGTTGGCGTCGATTCTAGTCAAGGTGGCCCCCAGAGGGGAGAGAATGGGGCGGGGACCTTCGACAACGAGGCGGGCGCCCAGGATCGGCGAGAGGAAGTCTCAGGCGAAATGCCCAGCCCGCCCGAACGACACGTCTGTTGGTGCGACGAGGGAGGAGGAGGAGGAGGACGAGGAGGAGGAGGAGGAGGAGGAGGAGGAGGAGGAGGAGGAGAAGAAGCAGCATGAGTCATCGATTCGACCACAGTCCGCCGGCGTCAGCGTCAAGAGGAGGGTGAGGAGGAGAAGGACAGTGATGAGAAGGATGTCATTCAGGAGGACAATCATGAGGTGAGGGAGTGGAGGGCAATACGTATGGAGGTTGAGGATGAGAAGGAGGTGGAGGGGGAGACGGGGCGGAGGAGGCGCGGAATCCCACACTTCCGATTTGTTCAATTTTTCCATAATCAGATTATTTAATCGCTTCGCTCATTCCGCCGGCCCTGGAGCGCTATTTGGGGCCTCTTGGGGCCGTCTTGGGTGCTTCTTGGGGGCTTCTTGGGAGCGTCTTGGGGCTCCTTGGCGGCGTATTGGGCTCCCCTGGGGCCTCTAGGGGGGCTCTCGGGGGCCCCTTGGGCGGGAGGGGAGGTAGTCGTTGGCAGCCCCCCCCTCGGAGGCCACGATCCTGATGAGGGTTGGCGAAAAATAGCCTCCCCCTGGGGATCGCCCGGGGATCAGCCGTGGATCGGCCGGGGTACTTTTCGTCCGGGGCCCCCCAGGGGCCGCCCCGCGCGCGCGAACTAGAAATATTGTTAAGTAGTTACAGGAGATCTTAGCACGCCTCTGGCCCGTTGGGCCGGCGAATTGGGTTCTTGTCATCCGTGTTACTCCTCCGCTTCACTCGCCTGACTCTTTCACCTGCTTCCGCCCACTCTTTCACGCATTTTCATTTTTACTCACACTCAGGTCAGAATCACACTCAATCAGACTCGCTCATGCTCGCGCTCACACATACTTACATTCGTTCACACTCAGATTTGTTCCCACTCAACTTCAGCTCAGACTTCCTCGCTCGTTGATCGTTTTATGCGCATGTTATTCCGTGTATCTACATCGATATACCATCGTAAGTGGTATCATACTGATACTTGCCCGTGCTCTGACATATTTCCCATATCCTAAGTGTGAGTTCTTGTTATTCGTGGGACCCCTCCGCGTCACTCGCGCATCCTCCCTTCCATACCTAAACGCGCTCACACTCAGATTCACTCATACCCAGCCAGATTCGCTCATGCTTGGATATTCATATTCGCTCATTTGTAAACACACTCACGCTCCGACGCACTCGCACTCAGATTTCTCATGCTCAAACTAATCCATATTCGCATTCCCATGCGCGACGTAGCAGGCATGGCGTTTGGGCCTCCCAAACGGGCCCACTCGTGGTTCAATGGTGACACCACCAGGTAGACTGGCTGGTTTGGCGCGGTAGAGGTGTTTCTTTTCATCGACCACAGACCATCGCAATGTAGCAGGCATGACCTTTGGGCGACCGAAAGGAGAGCCGACCAGAAGGTTATCGCGGGTCCGTTCGCGCCAGTATTACGGGAGCGTCTCAGGTAGGACGTGCGCTTTCACGGAGTAGACGTATATCTTAGCAACGTTCCCAAACCGCGACGTATCATGCATTGCTCTTGGGCACCCCAGGGGGGAGCCATCCGACCAGGGTGTTATCACGGGTCAGTTCGCGCCTAGATTGTGTGGTTGCCTTCGGTTGAGTGGCTGTTTTCGAAGGGTAGACGCGTCTCTTGTCAGGGCTCCAAGATCATGCTGTATCAGACATGACCTCTCGGAGCCCAACCAGGCAGGGGCAGGTTTCTGCTCTCGGTGTTTGTTGACCCTGGGTGGACACATCGATCGCTTCGGAGGTCTGTCAGGCGTTGCCATCATGGCTCGAAGCTCCTCGCGAGCACCTGTGTGAAACCGGCGGCAACCCGGGCAGAGACCGACGGCTTGACGACGACGTATCAAGCGAATACTTGGATTCTGATGTTGGGCCTCTGAAGAAACGTATAGTGAAATACGCGGAAGCCGCGTAAACTCGCAGAAGCCTTCAGGACCCTGGACCCTGCCGGGAACCGCGCGGGAAACCGCTCGTCTTTGAGGCAGTCCCCCCCGCTCGACCCCGCCAGCCAGGCCCACTTGGCGTCTTTACACAGAAGGGGGGTCTCGTCCACATCATCCCGCAATGGCTGGCGCCGACAAACGTTCTCAACATGACACTGCCTCCCATCACCATCGCCGCCACCGCTGACGCATTCATAGCTACCCTCCTCACCGCCGTCACCATCATTCCAGTCATCCTTTTCGCTCTCTTTGCGATTGCTGCCTGCACTGAGGCCCTTCAAAGGCACGCAATCAAACTCGAAAGCACCACTCTCCCCTGCCTGAAAGGGGGAGCCGACCAGGGTTTGATAGCCAGCCCGTTGGCGTCTCGGGTAGAATTGCCGCTTCGGTTGGCTAGACGTGTCTACAGTGGAGACCCAGGCCAAGAAACACCCTGCTCACCCTGCTTGCCTCCATGGTGCCCTGGGTTTCTTCGATTTCGATGGTGGTGCGACGGAAAGCGCGACGTGCCCACACCAAAAATCGATGGACGTCCTGGGGTCTCAGGGTTGTGTTTCTTGTGGACGGTTTCCTGTGGTCGGGCCCCTCCTGTAGACGTGTCTATGTTCAGAGCCCCAAGACCGCTGCATCATCGCGACGTAACGGGCAAGGCATGTGGGAACCCGGGGCGGGGGCCGACCAGGGTCTTATCACGGACCCGTTCGCGCCCAGTTGCGTGGACATCTCGAGTAGAATGCTGTTCCTGGCGGGGTAGACGTTCAGGCCTCGGAAAAAATAGCGAACACGCATGCCTCATTCATCGGTCAACGCCTCCCCCTCTCCCCAGTGATCAAAGTTGGCGGGGGGTCTGAGTCTCCCCCACGCGTGCCAACTTTGAATTTGGAGGAGCGGGGGAGTGTCCACTAATTGTTTCCCCCTACCGTATCTCTAGCCAGAGCCCTAATCTCATCGCGATGTGTGGCCAGTGTGCCGCTCTAGCTAGGGGAAGCCACAAGGGGGATTGCCCGGGCCCGTTCGCGCCCAACTCGCTGGGACCTCTCAGGCAGGATTACCCGCTTGGGGAAGGCTATATTTTCACGTCGCCATGGCCTCCGCGATGTAGCAGGCATTGAATTCGGGCCGTGGGGGAGAATGCAACGCAAGGGAATGCACATATGGGGATTTCCGCGTCGAGAGGTTGAGTTTCCATCGTGGTGGGCCCCTAGATGTCTGGGAGAAAGAGGAGGAGGCGGATGGGGGGGTGATCATGATGATGATGATGATGATGATGATGATGATGATGATGATGATGATGATGATGATGATGATGATGATGCTGATGCTGATGCTGATGCTGATGATGATGATGATGACGATGATGATGCTGATGCTGATGCTGATGCTGATGCTGATGATGATGATGATGATGATGATGATGATGATGATGATGATGATGATGATGATGATGATGAGGCTGATGCTGATGATGATGGTGATGATGATGATGAGGAGGAGGATGAGGGGAATGCACAGCTGCGCCGATCATCAGGGAGCCTCTCGTCGTCGCCCTGGCCCAGCGGTTCTTCTGCGGCCCTGGCTCACCTGGCCCAGCTCCCCAGCCTCCCGGAAGAACGTGCACGGGGGGCCTCCTCGTCCTCCTCCTTCTCCTCCCCCTCCTCCTCCTCCGCCTCCTTTTCCTCCTCCTCCTCCTCCTCCTCCTCCTCCTCCTTGGACCAATGGAAAGGAGGAATACTGCTAACCAATTTCCAGATGTCTAATGCATGTTTAGAACATATGCTTTTAAACCACATGTATTTTCACATGTTCCGAACATGTGTAAAGCAGGTAGAGGCAACTACAGCTTGAATTCAATTATTGAACGGTGAGAGTATCAATTGTGATGGCATCCAGAATGCCAGGTGAGACATCGTCGGTTCTCCCACGCGGTCCGAGTGCGCTCGGAATTGATCCCTGGACTCCTCCCGGGGCCCCTCCTGACCCGTTCTTCGAGTCCGAGCCGGCCGTGGCGACAAGACGCCTTCGGGAGGCCCGACAAGGCATCCGCCGACCCCGTCGGCGTCTGCGAGTCACGCCTGCCGAGTGAGACCCCTGCAGAGAGTCGAGCATGTCGGGGCTTTTCTGGGATATCTGCTCCCTGGTCACGGCCTTGGCGGTATATGGGGGAGGTCGGACGGGGCTAGGACGAGGGTGAACCCGTTGCAGGGCGTTCCAGGACGCTCTGGGAAGGCCGCGGCGCCCGGCACATACTCGAGAGCCGCCGGATCTCGGAGATTCTCGATGTACCCTCACCCGAAGTTGTCCTCGTCCTGGCTTCGTCTCAGGAGGGGAGCGCGCCGGGCCGCCCAGGCCGGGGCTCCAGCCGTGCGGCGGCAGGGCCCTGCACCAGAGCGCGAGGGGCGCGGGTCCGCAGCAAGGTCCCTGGGCGGCCGAGTCCGCAACCCTGTCCTGTCGCCGTCCTCCTCCTCCTCCTCCTCCTCCTCCTCCTCGTCCTGCTAGGGGAGGAGGAGGAGGAGGAGGAGGAGGAGGAGGAGGAGGAGGAGGAGGAGGAGGAGGAGGATGTCACGCGACCCCAGCAGGAGAAGGAGAGGGGGGCGGTCCACCAAGTCACTCCACCTCGCTGGTCTGCTCAGCGGCCAGCCAAAGCGAATCGTGGCTGAGCCCCGTGGCTCCGCTTACTAAAGCCCAACGCCATGGGGGCGTCTCGCAGTGCCACTCTTGGGCGCCGAGGAGGTCTATGAGGAGAGTCAGGTCGGCAGGCGGGTGGGCAGGCAGGTCTGGGTCAGCTTTGAGGGACAGGTAGCTAGGTCAAAGCAGACCCATACCTGCCTGCCTACCCACCTGCCTATGGAGGGTCGACAGGAGGGTCATGGAGGTACGCAGTCAGGTGGTAGGTCGTCGTCGTCGTCGTCCTCCTCCTCCTCCTCCTCCTCCTCCTCCTGCTCGACTTTCTCATTGGGGCGAATGAGGACGGCGGGTTCGTATCATGTCGACGCGGTGGTGACCCCTGTGCGGGCGTTCAAGGTTGAACGCCACCAGTGGCCCAGAATCGGCCGACATTCGTCACGACACGAGTGTGCGCAGGATGTGAGGTAGGGCCAGGTAGGTAGGTAAGTAGGTGGGTAGGGGTCACCGTTGAGCTCTTGTGCGCGTCTGAGCGTGCTCTGGTGCGCTCTGCTCGGCTTGACTCTGTGTCACCGTCGGCGTTGCTGTTTGGAATGGGGAGGCATGACGAGGGGGGGCGCCTGGACGCGTGTGTGACCAAACAATTGGGCCTGCCTTGTGGCCACCGCGGGCCCATGCAGGGTCTCTTGGGAGACCCTGGGGCTGCCGTGGGGTGCTCTTCGGGCTCCTGTGGGGCCTCCTGGGGCCACCTCGGCGTCCGTGGGGGGGTCTTGGGGCGTCTTGGGGGCCGCGTGGTGGGGAGTCTCGGGACCGTCTCGGAGCGGTCTGGGCCGGCCGGCTTGGCTGGGGGCTAGCTGGAAGCATGTGTGGCCACATCTTCGGGGCATCTTAGACCGCGAGGTGCCTTCTGGAGGGTACCCCTGATGGAGGCCTCTGAGACCCCCTTGAAGACGTATCGAGGTGACAACAAGTCTGATATTGCCAACATCGTTGACAAGTGTGAGTTGTTTGATGGTTCTGGCTGTATGGGCTCTCTCTTGGGACACATCTTTAGCCTTTTCTGGGTCTCTTAGGTCCTCCGGATTGTGCTTGAGACCTCTTGGGCGTGTTGGAGCTCTTCTTGAGCCGTCTTGGAGGGCATGTTGGAGGCTCTGATGGTCCAGGGGGGGCCTTGATGAGCTCAGGCTCCCCCCGCCCCTCGAACGGGATTTTGGACCTCTGGGGAGGCGGACCAGGGGGAGTGGGACAACCAACTATTTCACACGTCCTTCCAAGCGGGGGGCGGCGGATCCGTGAGCGTTCGATGGTAGGATTCGTCCCGAAGCGTTGTGTTCACCAGGGGTCCTGGGTGTCAGTTTCGAGCGGGTGCCAGGCAGGGCGAGAACGCAGTCGTTTCCGCTCACGAGGCCTGCGCGAGCAGGAAAGCTGCACTGGGCTCCGCCACGCCGGTACAGCTGCCAGAGGTGGCGTGCCATTCTCGGTCGCGCGTAAGAGTGACCCTTCGCCAGAGTGATCCGTGGTTGTGGGCCCACGGTCCCCCCCAGCACTGGCGCGCGCGCGTGGATTGGGCCCCCGACGGCCCCCTCTAGCTGCGCACTAGAGAGGTCGGTCTTGCCAAGGGCCACCCTTGCGTTTAGCATTTTGGAGGACGATCCATGGAGAGGAAGCATGTAGCCAAATATGTTCCAGATGTCTAAAACATGTGTCAAGCATACGTTGAGCATGCAAAACATGTTTTAACTATGTGTAGAACATGTGGTCCGACATTTTAAACACGCTCCAAATTCAATGATAGGAGTGTCAGCTTGTCCATTGTCGTGGCATCCACAAGCTCAGCAGGCCATCATAGACGCGCACCCCGCCCGCAGCCTTGGAGCAGCGTGTTGCCCCCCAGGCCCGCTCATTCGAGGAGGACGGCCTTGCGGTCTCTGTGGGCAGCTTGCCTCGGATGGGGACTTCGGTGAGCTTGGCATATTTTATTGTGCCACATGCGCGACTACCAGGGAACGGGCACGCCGACGCCGCGAAGGAGGCCACCGCCGTGTGCACATAGCGACTTTGAATTACAGTATGGCATGGTCGATTTGTTTGGCACCACGCCGGCCTGCGGTGTTCACAGTCGAAGTATCATACCATGGATGGCTCGTGGTGACTGGAAGCAGCGCGCGTGACTGAATCCGCATCGTGACCGTTTTCTCATTCATTGTTTTGCCTGTCGGCACGGGCCCTCGCAACCCCCCCTCCCCCCCGTGGAGTAGATCTTGGCTGTCTTTGGTGCCTGCTTCAAGCAGGTGGAGTCTCCCCCATAGGACGCACTGTTCCAAACAGTCGCACTGAGCAGAGGTCTGGAGCCAGACACCCCCCTCTCCCCCCCCCCTTCCGCCCAATGTCGAAACGTCGAATAAGAACACGCTCACAGTGAAGTCGCATCACGCTTGTGTCGCGGGCGGTAGACGGTCAACAATCTGGGTGCCCCGCGAGGAGCTGGTGCGTTGAGCGCTCTCACATCCAAGCGACGGCTTGTCGCATTTTGATCCGCATCCGTCATGGCGCTCCAGTCAGCCCCTTGCTGTCAGTGTTCAGTCAAGAGGAGGTTCCACCTGGAGGAGGAATAATAACGACAGAGAATAAAGGGCGGGAGGAGGAGGAGGAGAAGGAAAGGGAGAGGTGGATGATGATGATGATGATGATGATGATGATGATGATGATGATGATGATGATGATGATGATGATGATGATGATGATGATGATGAGGAGGAGGAGGAGGAGGAGGAGGAGGAGGAGGAGGAGGATGCGGAGGATTGATGATTGAGGCGGGCGGCGAGGAGGGCGATGGGGAAGGATGGATGAGGATGAGGATGAGGATGAGGATGAGGATGATGATGATGAGGAGGAGGAGGAGGAGAAGGAGGAGGAGGAGGAGGAGGAGGACGGCGAGAAGGAGGAGGAGGAGGAGGAGGACGGGGAGGAGGACGAGGAGGAGGAGGAGGAGGAGGTGGAGGAGGAGGAGGAGGTGGAGGAGGTGGAGGAGAAGTACGAGCAGAAGAAGGTGAGGACAATAAGTAAATCCAACACCAAGCGATGCAGAGATTTTGCTGCATCATGGCCTACGGCAGGCGCGCGCTGGACGGGCCGGGGCCGGGGCTTCGGGTGCCACTGCCGGGGGGGGAGGCCTTGGCCCCTGCACGGGTGGAGGGCCATCGGCCTCAAGGTGGGCACCAAGGATCGGGCGAGTTATCCGACCACATCGCGCGCTGCAAGTCGCCACCCGTGTGGGGGTAGGTAGAGGGTCTAACAAGGGCGCCCTCGAGGGCGCGAAGTGATTCGCGCTTCGCGCTTCGCGGTCCGGCTCCGATTCCTCCTCGTCCTCCTCTCCTCCCCCGGGAGGCGGCGCGAGAGCGCGAAACGATTCGCACTTCGCGCTTCGCGCAGCGCGACGCGCGAAGTTTGGGGCCCTTGAAGTCGCCAGGGCTGGTCGAGGGTTTAAAAGAAGCAGGCGTGCGCGGCGGCGAAGCGGCTGCCCGATTTTGGGAAGCAGCCGCCCCGGCGATCGGACGCCCCAGGTCGCTTTTCATTGGAGCGCGGGGAGGTCTCAGGCGGGAACACGATTTTGAAGAGGAACCGTCCATCACCAGTATGGGCGTCGGCGAGTCAACGCCTGAATGACACAGCGCTGACATCGATTTCGTGTGAGCTGGAACATGAGAAGCTACACATCGTCTCGCCCTCCGTCCGTGACGCTGATGGAAATGAAGACGGTCAGGAACTTTGGCTTAGCGTAGCGCGCCGCCGGGTGGGTCTTGCCCACCACGCTTCGGCGCTTCACGGTATCCACGTCTCCGTCCCCGAGCGTCAATGCTCCGAGCTCTTCTCAGCCCCCCGCCCGCGGAGCGGAGCGACACGCGCTCGCACGGCATGGCGTGTCGCCGGGGCCGCCGCCGCGACACGCTGGGCAACAGTTCTATGCAGCACGTTGTGCGGGTCAGACGTTAGAAACATCCCGCCTTGTATCTGTTCAGATATTTCAGGCGAATCGCATGGACTGTCTGGTCGCCCCTTCGGCACGCTTTGTGGTGCACATTGGAGGATCGGAGGAGGGCTTACCCATAAGGAAGAGAGGTGGCAGGATATGAGGCAGAGAAATAATAGAAGAGGAAGAGGGGCAGGACGATGATGAGGCATAGGTCGAGTGGGGTAATGAGGAGAGAGGACTATCTAGGAAAAGGAGAGGATATATGATGACAGCACAGCCCTTCCTATGTCGCTTAATCTTTTCATATCCACTCGCCAGGTTGTCCCAGGTGACCTTGAAGCCCACATGTCAGCTGCGTGGCCTGACATTTTCACAATCGGAAAAGGGGGCACTCGTACTTGGGAGGATGCGGAGCAGCAGGGTGCAGTTGAGCAGGCAGGAGGCGAAGGCTACAATTATCAGGGTGGAGGAGGACGTTCTGGAGGAACAGGAGGGGCAGGAACCAGAAAATACGGTTAGGAGCTTCGGCTTAGCGTGTCGCTCCGCTGATTCGCGCCAACCACGCTTCAGCGCGGCACGCTATCCACGGCCCCATTCCCAAGCGTCAGCGTCCCGAGCTGTTCCCAGCCTCCCGCCCCGCGGAGCGGAGCGGCACACGCCATCCGCTCGCCAGGCACAGCGTGTCGCCGGGGCCGCCGCCGCGACACGCTGTGCAACAGCTCCTGACCGCAAGCAGGGCATAGCAGGTGGGGCAGAAAGACTACACAGGGGAAGGTGGGCGTGGGTGGGGGGGTGGGCAACGACGGCACGCTGTGCAACAGTTCCTGACCGTAAGCAGGGCATCGCATGTGGAGCATGAAGACTACATAGGGAAAGGCGGGCGTGGGTGGGGGTGGGTGGGCAACGAAGGGGATTAGTTCGGATCCAGAACTGTGGCCCGCCGTCGACCACAGCGCCGTTCTGATCGACGGGGGCAGGGCACCGATCATGGAATGCTGGCAAGTGTTGATGGCTCGAGAACGCTCCGATCGATCAAGAACAAGAACAGCAATAACACCACCACCACCAACAGCAACAACAACATAACCAACAATAGCAACACCACCACCACCAACAACAACAACAACACCAACAACCTAAACCATACGGTTTCGACATCCTGTGTGCGGAAAAGCACTGCGCGAGAGAGGCGGGATCACGCTGGCACGCTGTCAGCGGAGAGAGGGGGCTGGTAACCGTACTGAGTTATTGTGGTGGAGGAGAAGAGGATGACGAGGAGAGGAGGAGGAGGAGGAGGTGGAGGAAGATGAAGAGGAGGAAGCAGAGGAGGATTCGGAATCTGATGAGGCGCAGCAGCCTGAGAGGAATAGCCAGGAGGATGAGGAGAAGCCTCTGCATTCATTCAGACCATGAAGGGAGGAAGAGCAGTGAGGTCGGAGAGGAGGAGCAGCAGCGGCAGCAGGCAGTGGAGGAGGCCGCCCTGCCCCCCCCCCCCCCCCCGTGCCGCACCCCGTCTGCCGCGCGCCTCCTCGACCCCGACCCCTCCCCTGCGAAGCGTGCGCTTGGCGACCCTCTGCGCCGCTGCTCCTCCTCTGCCTCGCCGCCCGCGCCTCCGCGCAGACAGCGGCGCCCGCCCCCCCCCCCCTTTGCAGGCGAAGCGGCCTCCTGGGCCGACGGGCTGGGCACCGGAGCGCTCGCGAGCTCCTGGGAGGCCTCCGTCTTCGCGCGGGCGGAGAGGAGCATCTCGGAGGGCGACATGCAGGCAGGGCGGCGAGATCGATGCGGATCCACCGCGTGGCTCGGTGCGGGCCCTCGCCCACCCCCCCGCCCTGGAGTAGATCTTGGCTGTTCTTGGCGCCCGTTTTCAGGCAGCTGGAGTCTCCCCCATAGGACGACGCCCTGTCGCAAGCGGTCGCGCTGAGCAGAGGTCCGGAGACAGACCCCCCTCCCCTCCCCCACCCCCCCATTCCGCCCAATGTCGAGACGCCGAAGAAGACAGCGCTCACCACTCCAGGCTGGGCCAGGACTCCGCGGCCCAGGAGCGGTGCACAGGCCCCCCTTTGGCCTGGGCAGGGAGGCACCTCTGCACCGCTCGGGGGCCCAGGATGCGCCTGGCCGGGCGCGGCGGCAATGCTCTGATCTCGTCGCCCCCTTCAGGGGCTCCGAGCCTGCGCGCACCTGCGGAGGGGTGGGGGGGTGGGGCTGGCAGCTCACGGAGCAGAGTAGCACCCTCCACTGTGAGTGTGTGTGTGTGTGTGTGTGTGTGTGTGTGTTGTGAGCGCGTGTGAGTGTGTGTGTGTGTGTGAGTGTGTGTATGTGTGTTTGTATTTTCCTCTTCCTATCTTTTTACAAGCCCGAGGGGGGGGGGAAAAACCGTCCCCCCCCCCAAAACTGGATCCCCGGGATCTGGGGTTCTCGGGCTCCCTTGGACGTCCTTGGAAAAGGTCACCCAGCTTTGCGGGTCACAAACGCCTTGCCAGCAGACCCAGAGCGATCAGAGGGGTCATCAGAAAGGTTCAAGGGAGGCCCCAGACAGCACAAGAGCGCTCCAAGAGGGACTCCAATTGCTTCAGGACGGCCCAAAAGACCCCCAAGGCACCCCAAAAAGCTTTCCAAGGGGCCTTCAAAACACACAAATCGTCCCATTCCTTTCGTAAAACTCAATTTTTGCATATTCGCCTTTCGGATTTCATCAACTTTCAAGACGGCTTCAAATCCCCCGAGATCGCCTCAAGACGCCCCAAAAGGCCACCAAGAAAGCTTCAAGACAGCCGAGCCGGGCCCCACGATCGCCCACCGGGCCCAAGCTCCCCAATACGGCCCAAGAAGGCCCCAGGACGGCCCATGAAGGCGCCAAAACGGCCCACGAGGGCCCCGAAAACACCCCCACGATGTTTCCGAATGCCAGCATTCATTGCGTTTGCTCCCATGACATTCCACATTGTGACCCAGTCGTTGAGGGTCTCGTGGCATGCAGCGAAGATGCCCGAGGATGCCCCCAACAGCTTTCACAAGATGATCGTGAGGCCTCCAGGGGTCCCAGAAGCCCCTGAGAGGCAACCGACTCCTACGCGCGCATTCCCTTGGATTGGCAATGCTTGGAATTATGCTGCACGGCTTCACATTGCGTTGCTGTGTTTGGCACTCACTCGCATGGCTTCCCATTGCTTTGCATTGCGCACCTCGGCGGCCCAGGCCACCAGCGGGCGCCCACGCGATTCATTGGGATGTTCTCTTCACCGGCCGGCAACTCAGGAGGAGGATGAGGAGGAGAGGAGGAGGAAGAGGATGTGGACCAGGAGAACGCGAATCAGAAAATGAAGAAGCAGGACGAGGGAATTATACGCAAGGGGAGTGCGGATAACGAGTGGCGAGTATCACCCAAACAGAAAACGAGGAGGGGGAGGAGGAAGAGGGAGTCATGAGATCCGCTTCGCCCGGGTATGCTCACAACTCCCACCTCGGAAACGCTTTGCCTCGCAGTGGTCCCGCCATTTTCGCCTGAGACATCCTTGCAACTCTGGAATCCGAGACGCCCCGAGGTGTTCAGGCCAATTTCGCCTGAGGCAGTCTCGCAAGTCTGACTTCGGAGGTGCCCTGCACCATGGTGGTTAGCCTACTTTCGCCTGCGACTTCTCGCAACTTTGAATTTCGGGATGCCCTAAGCTGAGGTGTTCAAACCATTCTTCGCTTGAGACTTCCTCGGAAGGCTGACTTCGGAGATGCCACGCCCCATAGTGCTCGGGCCAGTTGCGCCTAAGACATCCTCGCAACTCTGACCTCGGAGGTGCCCTACCCCAAGGTGGTCTGGCCACTTCCGCATGCGACACCCTCGCAACTCTGCGTCCGGGGATGTCCTAAGCTTCGGTGTTCTGGTCACTTTCGCCAGAGCCATCCTCGCAATTTTCGGTTCCGCGGTGCCCTGAGCTGAGGAAATCAGACCGCTGTGGCCTGAGACCTTCTCCGAGCTCTGACCTCGGAGAAGCCCTGTCCCAAGGTGGTCCAGCCACTTCCGCTTTGAGGCTTTCTCGCAACTCTACGTTTCAGGGCTCCTTGAGCTGAGGTGTTCGGGCCACTTTCGCCAGAAGCGTTCTCGCAGCTCTGGGTTCCGAGATGCCCTGCCCCATGGTATTCCGCCACTTTCGCTTCAGACATCCTCGCGTCACTGAGTTCCGGTCTTTCCTGAGCTGAGGTGTTCAGGCCGTTTTCGCTCGAGACATCCTCGCAATTCTGAGTTCCGGTATGTCCTGTGTCCTGAGCGGAAGTGTTCAGGCCATTTTCGCTTGAGACATCCTCGCGCACTGACCTCGGCGATGCATTGTCCCATGGTAATCTGGCCATTTTCGCTTCAGCCCCTCGCACCTTTCAGCTGCGAGATGCCCTGAGCAACTGGTCAGGCCACTACCGCCTGAGATACGCATGTTTATGCGAGCCCATAGCCATATACATATGTTTATGTATATATGTATATATATACATATGGGCGTGCACCGACAAAACGCGTACGAGTTGCATATGCATGCTCATACCCTTACACACGTAACTTTATATGTACATATGTACGCTGTATACATATACAGCAATGTAAGTATATTGTATACGCCTAGACATATATACGGAACGTGCATGCGCGTGCGCATATACATGCATGCGCGCATGTACGCACGCACGCATCCCGCTTTCGTGCGGAACTCAAAGGACCAAGTTGCATGGCACGCAGCGCCAATGCAGTCCTGTGTATATATATATATATGTGTATGTATGTATGTATATATATATATATATATATATATATATATGTCTGTGCCTGTGTGTGTGTGAACCTCGCCCCTCTCGCCTCCCCTCGCGGCGCACAGCGAGTAACCCGGCCCATCCCCTGTGGGCGGACCTCCGGTCCCTTCGCCGCGGGGATGTTGCCCGGCCGCGCGCGTTCTCCCGGACGACTGCCTGCGCCGAGCCGCTGCGCGCGTGGCCGCAAGCCAAAGAAATGCGCGCGCGTGTGTGTGTGTGTGTGTGTGTGTGTGCGTGTGTGTGGTTGTGTGTGTGTCCGTGTGTTTTGTTCTGGTGCTCAGCGAGCTCGTTTTGTTTTCCATGCCACTTTTGCCTGCTGCATCCTTCCTCGGTGTTCCTGTCTGTATATCTGCTTCGGGCATGCCCCGAGACTCTCGGGGGACCGTCCGTCTGCGCACGCCATGCTGAAGCCCGGGCAGGCGGCGGCCGTGTGCGGGGCGCTTGTTTCAGGAGGGGAAAAACACACGGACACAATTTATCGCCGGCTCCCAGGAAAGTATGGGAAAATGTGGGAAGTGGGGGGGGGCAGACGAAAGCCAAAGAATATGGAAATATATGGGGGATCCTGTTTTTTGTGTGTATTTATTTGTGTGTCCCAGGGCCCCTTCATTGCTTCTTGAAAATATGTTCCACGGGATTTATTGGACGGCTGAAGTATTGGTCGTCATCTTGGGGTACGTGCTGGCTGATCGCCAAGAGCCGCTTCACCTTCAGGAGCCCTACGAGCCCCAAGCTGGAACTCCACAGCTAAGCTCGCAAGGTGCTCCTGGAGGTCCGGAAGATCTCTTGGTCTGGAGATGCCTTCGTTCATACCGTACGAGATAGGCACATTTCTTTTTACAATCGTTTCAGAGTGTGTTCGCGACGGTGTGGAGGGGTCTGCTACCTGGGACACGTTACCGCAGTCGCGATCTACATGCACGTTCGAGCCAGCATCTTATCAGTATCTTAATTTTTTTCCATGTCTGCTTTTCTGCTTGTGTTTGTCATTGTCAATGTTTGGACTTCTGGCAGAGATATCCTTATTGAACGAACGGTTTCTGGGAAACCGATTCGGTGAACAAGGTGCCGACATGCATGTCCAGGTGATCGTATAAGACAGGATGTGCGACACTACCAAGCATGAAGGGCTTTGATGCTTTTCCTTTTGGGTGCTGCGCCAACACCCACGAAATGTGCTACCTCTCAAAACGTTTGCCAAGAGACGAGCAGGCACTTCCCGAATTCCTATGCACCGTTGAGCCTCGGATCTGCCCCATGCCGTGAGATTGCATCGAGGCTTCGGGCTCCCTTTGGTTTCCCATGCTGCCGTCCGTATCCATGTGCCATTACATCTTAGTCGGTTGTGTGTTGCCAGTCTTTGAGATGTACTCACGCCGACGCCGTCAAGCCATCTGCTATTTGCGCTGCGTTCCCTCCAGAAAGACATGCTTGATATACAAAAAACAGGGTATGCGCTGGGCACGGGGTTTCTGTCTCACGTGTATTTTGACACCTTCTGTACGAGTGTCATAAGGCTACGTGCACTTTGGGTTGCAAGGCGCCAGCTTCAGCAGCAATCACATCGGTTGTCTCTAGGCTTGTCACCACATCTTGAGCTTGTCTTTGCACGACAAGGAGTTGCCCAATTCAGTTAGTCCCTGGCCTTCTTTGAGTTTCTTGACTTACAACTGCGCGCACCTCAGGATGTAACTTCTTCAGTTGTTGTGCCAGCTTGGCAGCATCAGCTTTGGTACTGGCCAATGCGTCGTTGCTAGAAGCTCAGCGATGCGCTTTATAATCTTAAGCCGATTTCGGGAACACCTTCGATGCCTCAAATGTGCTAGCACGGGCCGCCCGCACCCTGGGCCTCATTGGTACCGATGCTTAGCGATTGACCTTATACCGACCGTCCGCGCCTGCAGCGTGGAGAGAACACGCGCTACCTTCCGCCGCCCGGGAGCGAATTACTTGCTCATTCCAGCTTCGATCCCCAAGGGCCGAGGCAACCGCGCGGCCGAGGGATAACTTCTGATCGGCAAAACACATCGGCGCAGGAAGTGATTTTGTTGCTTGGAGGAGACTTTTGGGGACCCTTCCTGGGATGCTGGAACATCGTGACTTGTTCGGTCAGGCACGCCTCAACCGTTTGTGCTGGAAGTTCGTAGGCTACCAGAAGTATCTGGCATTGCGGAAGCCTTGGCAGCGTATTCTTTTGCAGTGCTCCAGGGATGTGCGTGACGTCTCCCGTAGGAGGGCCCAGCGGGCTGGCCTAGGTGAAGGGCCCATTAGCGTATGCAGCAGTGGGCATGGGCTCATCTTGGTCCGCTGGGCTGCGGCACGTCCTGCACCGATTTGTTGGGCCCATGCATGCTCATAGTTTTGCGCGAGCAGTGACCTCGCGTGCGTCCTC